ATAAGGACAATACAAGGAGAAAGAGGGTGATATAAAGCCCAGGCAGAAGATGCCCAACTTTGTGGTTAACTTGTGATATGAGGTTAGAAACAATACTGAAACCTCACACCAATGACTCAACTTCTTTGAGCACTGGTATTTTCACTTATAAAAGGTACTTTCTGCACAGGATTCTAATGGTGGAGATAGAACAAGATTAAACCACTACTGATTCCTAGTATCGCTCCAAATAGATTATACATTATATGCTCTTCTTTTTAAATTTTACTTATTTATTTTTATTTACGTGTATGAGTATATTGCCTACATGTATGTAAGGTACCCATGTTGTGCAATGCCTGCAGATGTCAGAAAAGGGCATCAGATCTCCTGGAAATGGAGTTACACTTGGTTGTTAGCTGCCATGTCGGTGCTGGGAATCAAACCTGGATCTTCTGTAAGAGCAACCAGTGCTCTTAACTGCTGAGCCATCTCTCCAGACCCTTACATGCTCTTTCTAAAGGGGAGGCATCAGGTAGCAGGGGTTAGGGACTAGGTTGTAAAACCCAGCTCTGTTCTCTGGGAGCTTGAAGGCCTTGGCTGGGCTGCTTCATGTTTCTGAATGCTGGTTTCCTCTTGAGAGCAAGACATCATAGTGACTATACGCAAAGGCTGCTGGGCATGCATCCCAGGCACTGTGCTGTACTAGCTAGTGTGCATCCCTGCTTCTTCTACAGGTGCAGGAGGTATTTTGTGGACAGACTGCATGGTGTACTCTTGAACTGTCAGTGCCTGTCAAATGCCTGGAGAAGCTACTCAGAAAGCTTTAATGCACAGAAGAAAGCTTGATAAGACAGTACTTTCTTTCTGTAGTTCTGGGGATTGAACCCAGGTCTTCATGCACTCCAGGCAAGTGCTCTATTGCTGAGCTACATCCCCAGTTCCCAATAACACAGTTATATAAAGGAAGCCTATTACTGCCTTGGCATGGTTATATCTCTTTCTACAAATGCAGAGATTTGTTTGTATATATGTCTCTATTTAGGGCTTTGTTTTGAAAGGATCTGGCTTTCAGAAATCTGATCTCTGGAAAAATGGGTGGTGGTATACTGATTTTCTTGTATTTTAGGTCTCAAAAGGCTTTGCATTTCTTTAACAAGATGACTTTTTATATGAATCCTTCCTGAATGATTTTTGCTTTCAGGTACTGCTTTGATACATGTTTGAAATTTGAAACTGAATTTCCAAGTATAGTATTGATGAAAGTGAACTCTACCTTGTGTCTGAAAGAGCCCACTGTTTGATTTGCTTAGTACTACTTTGCATAAGTAGTGGTCTCTTAAGTAGTGGACAAATGGTATTACTTCTCAGCAAATGCCAGAAAAACAATATGTAGGGGAGCTCTAAAATTTTCACTTCTCTTATTGCAAAAAAGTCTTGAAAGAGAACACGACTCAGGGAGACACCACATTTTAAGAAGCATTTTAAAATCATACAGCTTACACAAATTCAATGACAAAATGAATGTGTGCTAAAACACCAAGAGCAGCAGAACTCTTTTATTGCCAAAACTAAAGTAAGGAAAAAAAAAAGCCTTGTAAAATTAATCTGAAACCTTATCATCTACCATTTTTCCACAGTCCTTTTGAATACAGGCACACCTTTTTTTCTAAGAACACGATTTCCAAATATCTAATTTTGCTAAGCAGCTTCTTTGGTAACAGGCAGGAATATAAACATTTGCATAAGATGCTCAAAATAACAGAGCTCCCAGGACCTGCTGAGAATTAATTAGGAAGGTAGATTTATTACCTAAATAAATAAATAAACCTGAATGCTACTTGGGGTATGACATTAGGGATTATATACTGCCATTAAAGAGGACTAATAAATATAGTTTTTTAAAGGCTTAAGGGAAGGGAGAAGGCTAGCACACACCAGCTCAGGCAGTGCCAGACAACAGCTGACTGCCTCTGTTGAGGTTACTATGGAAACGCCTTCCCTTGGGACACTGCCAGGAGAGGGTGCTTTAGAAATGGTGGTGGGGAGCAGAGCAGGCGGGCAGATGGATTTCAACAGGGTTCACCTCTGTATACATTAAAAGGAGAATCCATCTTCCAAACAGAATGATATCTTTCTAGCAAGTCACATCAAATGGAGTAACAAAGCATGAAGCTTGGCATAATTACAACCCATTTACCTCTATGAAACCTGCACATCAGTTCAGATAATTGTTTCTTTCCTTGTCCCTGTTTGCCTTGTATTTCCCACACAACTAAAGGAGAGATGTTATATAATTAATTGGCTACTTCCTTAGCCATCAAGCCCAAACTGATAAAAGGATCTATATCAAAACAACATTAATGGGCAGATTCAAACATTCTTCAGACCAATTCATCAGGCAAAACTAACACTCATCAACAAAGGAAGGCCAAGAAGACTTCCAGCTGCACATAGGTTAAATATTTCAGCTTACATGGTCTCTCTCAAAATCAGTGAACAGAATTCATGTTTACGCAAATTACACCTAATTTAGCAATGTGCTCTCTGAGCACTGGTCTGGCTACATCAATGTCTATGAAAACCCAATGGCAGAAGTGCATTTATTCTAGTAACATGCCTCAGCCCCGAGGAGCAATCTTTTCCATCAACTTACAGTGATCTCCCAAGATAATTCTCAGAGTCAAAGAGGTTGTGATCAAAGCTTTGGACACGGTACTACTAATTATGTAGGTAATGTAATGTTTTCTCTTTGTTCGCCTATCAAGCCCCAGCAATCACAAGTCTACCAGCTTCACAAAATATTCAAATTCTGGCACTACTGTCCCTTGCAAAAATTCTAATCTTTCTTGAGAAGTGTATTAGAATTAATGCTTTAATTCAGTATTACAATATACAAATATGATGCAGAGAATGACTCTAAGGCGAAGATATTCATTTGACAGTAACAGAAATTCAAGCTGGCTGAAACCTTAACCAAAGCCTGCAGTGTTTGTACACAGAAAGTTACTTGGGTACTAACAGAGTCACCCGGAACTGGAATATTTCCTTCTCAGATCACTGTTACAATTATGTGACCATATTACTTGTGGTGCTTGCTGAAATTATTCTTAAAGATTCTTTTTATCTTTTCTTGGAACAGTGACCAGAACCACTATTACATGACTAATTGATTGGACAGTGTTTGGTAGTCAGAGAGGAAAAAGGTGTCAAAAATGCATCTTTAAATATATTTGCTTAGCTTTAACAAAAAGATCAGTCTTTATCTCCTTAATGAAAAGTAATAGAAAATGGAGAGAGGTTCTTATAGATTGAGACAGTGTATACTAAATAAGCTGTTTGTCTATCTATCTTTTTGTTGTTGTTTTTCGGTTTTTTTGAGACAGGGTCTCCCTGTAGCCCCAGCTGGCCTGGAACTCCTAAGCTATATATTTTAAAGTAACAGAAAAACATTATATATCTATACACAGAATGAATGAAATAAAAACAAATGTACAGAGGCTGAAGAGATGGCTCAACAGTTAAGGGACCCAGGCTCAGTTCCTAGCACTTACATGATGACTAATAACCATCTCTAATTACAGTTCCAGATGATCTGACTCCCTCTCCTGACCTCTGTGGGCATTGCACAACACAGGTTTACTTAAATACATGCAGGCAAAACACTCAAACACATAAAACTTCATCAGCAACAACAACACCGTCCCCAACAAATGGATGATATCAAACAGTCGTGAGAATATGAAGAAATAGGTACTCTCATTTAGTGTAGAACATAAAATGGTACAGCCACTTTGAAAGACTGGCAGTTCTTAAAAAGCTAGACTTAGTCTTATGTGATCTAGCAACTGCACCAGGTATTTACCCAACTGTTTCAAAAACTTATGTCCACACAAGAAACCTGCATGCAAATGTTTATAGTAGCTTTATTCATAACTGCCCCAAACTAGAAGCCACTAGTTATCTCTAGTAAGGAGGGATAAACACATTGCGGTACCTCAGTATAACTGAGTATTATTCACTGAGTGAAAAAATAGTTATCAAGCCACAGAAGGACATGGGGGAACCTTAAATGCTTATTGTTAAGTAAAAGAACCCAATCTGAAAAGTCTACATGCTATATGATGCTGATATGACATTGAGAGAAGGTGCAACTAGAGAGACAGTAAAATGATGGTTCCCAAGGGATTAGAGGAGAATAAATACATCACGCAAGTATGCATGTGTGTGAGTGTGTATGTGTGTGTCCCTTCAGATAGGATTCCCCTTATCCTTGACATTCTTTCTCTTCAATGGTGCAATGCGTGAATATTAGGCTGGAATGGGTGAATTCTATTCATTTTACTTTGCAGTGCTAGGGATGAAAGCTGAGTTGACCTCTTACATGCAAGTCAAGGATTCACCTTCACAGCCCCAGCTGGATACGATCAACTTGAAAGAAAGAGACTTGGAAAGTTACTGCACTTTTAGAGTTCATAAAATTATGTCCAATTGTAGTTAAAATACCACAGTACAGGAGTGAGAAAGGATCATGCTATGCTACGTGTGGCATTAATGAACAATGGGGAAAAGAAGTCTCTCCCCTACGGAACACATATACTCACATACCATAAATTACCATGTATGTGATGATTAAAAAATATACTACTCAGGGCTGGAGAGATGGCTCAGTGATTAATAACACTGACTGTTCTTGCAGATGACCTCGTTTGAATCCCAGCATCTACATGGCAGGTAACAACTGTCCGTAACTCCAGTCCCAGGGGATCCGACAGCCTCTCTGTCCTCTGTGGGCACTGCATGACATGGGTGCACTTATCTACATGCAGGCAATACACGCATACACATAAAATAAAAATAAAAAAAATACTACTCAGGGCTAGAGAGATGGCTCAGTAGTTAAGAGCACTGGCTGCTCTTGCAAAAGACCTGGGTTTGGTTCTCAGCACCCACATAGTGGCTAACAATTGTCTGTAACTCAAGTTATAGGCGATCTGTTGCCCTCTTTTTTAAAAAATAGGAACTGTAGAGTTCCTCTAGGCAATAGGGGCCATTGTAAGATCCTGAGGAGCTCTTTCCTCTCTCAGGTACAAAAGTCACAAAGGTGAAACCAAGTATAATTATGCAGAGTGTGAGAGGTTGATGCCCTCTTCTGACATTCCTGGGCATTGCATGACAAGGGTATGCTTACATACAGTTGGTATACTCAGACACATAAAATAAAAATAATAAATATTAAAAAATATACTACTGACCAACTCATGGCTTCAAGAGGAATTTACAACAGAAATGATGATAAGGCTACATAAAATGAGCAATTCAGCTCAAACCATTCTTAAATACAAACATACAGCCTAACATGCATTTAAAATATATTAAAACTAAAGCTGTTAAAACCATCATCTAGGAGCCGGGTGTGGTGGCGAACGCCTTTAATCCCAGCACTTGGGAGGCAGAGGCAGGCAGATCTCTGTGAGCTCAAGGCCAGCCTGGTTTACACAGTGAGTTCCAGGACAGCTGGGGCTACAGGGAGACCCTGTCTCAAAAAGACCCCCCCCCAAAACCCCCCAAAAAACCGTCATCTAGGGCTGGAGAGATGGTTCAGCAGTTAAGAGCACTGGCTGTTCTTGCAGAGGACCTGGGTTTGATTCCCAGCACCCACATGGTATGCTGACTAACAACTGTCCGTAACTCCAGTTCCAGGGGATCTGACACCCTCTTCTGAGGGCATTGCATGACACTTACATATACAAAGGCAATATACTCATACACATAAAATAAAATAAAAAAACTCATTTAAAGAGCTAGAAAATGGGCAACCTAAAGAATGGAGAAGGCTAATGCTCACTGGTCATCCCAACACTTGGGAGGCTGAGGCAGGAAGACCTTGAGCTTGAAGCCCTTCTGGGCTACATAGTGAGACCCTGTCTCAAACAGGTAAACAAAATAAAAAAAAAAACAACAAAGAGAAAACAAGACAACACAACAAAACATAAAAAAAGGAAGAGGAAATAAAATGGAGAGGAAAAACCAAGAACAGATGTGATATCGAAAGAAATGGGGTAAAGCAGCTCCCATCAAGTTTAGGAAGAGAGGAATATAACTGTAAGTACAAGAAGCTGCTCTCTTGCAGGCCCTTCTGGAGGTCTCTTCCAGCCAGAAGATTGGCTTTTCCTCATCAAGTACCTTCCCTGCTAGAGCCAATGGTTGCCTTTCCTCTGAGAAACAGACAGGCTGCTTCCTTTGGCAGAGGACATGGGGGGCAATCTTCTCCAAAGAGCTGTGAAACAAGCATTACTATAACATTTCCCACGGTGAAAGTCAGGGCTTCACCATGGGAAATGTTACAACTGTCTGAGGATGTTGTTACTCACCAGACCTGAGTGATATTTTACCTCTCTGCTACTCTTTCCTCTTTGACTTACCTCTCTTCTCTCATGCCTCTGCATTGGCAGCATTTTTTCTGAGGTATAATAAGCATGCACAACAAATTCTCTAGCAGTTGTGTCTTCAAACCTAGTCCCCCCTTTTACTTAAGGTCCCTTGGATATGTTTATTACAATTCAAGGTCTAGCAAAAGGCAATGAGCACTAGAGGCCTATAAGAAACAATTGTCAGAGGGGCACAGGGACTGCAGCATCTCAGGGGGAACACAAGGAAGGCTAGTAGCCCACAGTCTGGGGGGATGCAGCAGTTTCTTGCTGGTGGCTCGAGGGAATGGCTGATGTCCAACACTGAGAAGCTGGGGCAGTTGGGTGCTGCTGATTTATAGAAGTTCAAGGAGTTAGGAGGTGTGAGGCTTGTAGAATTGGTTGGACATTATTGTGGTGCACTTAGAAATCAACTAATATCCAATCTCTATTGCCTTGGCTGCAGGCACTCAAAGCAACAGGGAACCCACCCATGCTGGCCATTCATGAGCTCAGTTTTACTGTTTGACAAAGACTAGGATCCTGAGAACTGGAGTCAAGGGTGGCTGGGAAGAGTCCCAGGGCTTAAGAAAGCCTGATGAACCTGCTGTATTTGAAACACTACTTGCCCAGTATTTCTTCCTACTAGGAAAACTTAATGACCTACCCCAATATTCAGCATGATTTGTGATCAAAGTCCAAGTATGTCTTGGGCTTTGAGACAATAATCATAATAGTAGAGGGAAGGGATAATCATACCCAAAATAATTTGTAGGAATTATCTATGTCATACCAGAAAAGTCAGGAAAGGCTATGCATAGCTCTGCAAGTGTTTGACAAGGAAGAGAAGTACGGATTTGGATCATGAGGATTCAGTTGCTATGGAGAGGCCTCATCTGAGACACAACCATAATTCGCTATTGTAGGATGAAACTGAATGGTTGTTTCAGTGGCCAATTCAAACCTGAGTTTTGAGCTGATCCATGCTGCCTGGCAAGAAAGGTGAGTGCAAAAACATACAAACAGAAGAGACTAAAGGATAGGCCAAGGATAACAAGGTCCTGCAGGGCTGCCTTGAAAATGTGTCATGGCCAGGATCTCTACCAGAGTCCTTTCCCTTACCACCATACATACCTTCACTAAGAATTAAAATGTGTGGTTACAATCTGCTCTCAGATAGAAGAGCCAGATTAAAACAGAGAGAGAACTTATAAGAAAGGGAAATGAAGAATAGAGAGCAAGAAGAGACCCTGAACTGTATTTTTTACTATTTTTAAAAAATTCATAGTACTCTTAGTTTTGAAAACTTTCCAAATTTGATTCTAAGCACAGTATTCCCATTGTTCTTTTCTTCCCTAGAATAATACAACACAACCTTATGGCTCTATAGGATAATTAGAACTCACATAGCACACTGAGAGATGAGAAGATAGAGGACCATGGAGATTTGCTTTTACCGATTTTCCTTCAGTAATTCTTTTCCCCATCATTTAACTGTGGATATTCCTGAACAAGTCACCCTTTCTCCCTCTAGATTCATAAGTTCCACCTCTAGTTTTACATGGATCCACTCTTAAATATTAATCCTAATTACTGAATTCTTTCTCACTTTATATATTAGACTTCTGATTATCTATGAATTGAACACGTTTATGTTTCACCAATACCTGAAACTCAACATAGCTGCACTTAACACACACACACACACACACACACACACACACACACACACACACACACACACATACACACCCTCTTGGAGACAAAGTCTTGTAGAGTGCAGGCTAGTCTCAATTCTCCATGTAGCTCAGATTGGCTCTGAACTCCTGATCCTCATGCCTTAGCCTCTTGGGTAGCTGGGATTATAGGCATGTGCCTGGCTGTGGCTGAATCAGAAATAATTTTCCTTTAGCCCCCACCAGCTTCTTCAACACTATTACTAGCATTGTCATTTAAAAAAAGTTCCTTGTCTGAAACTTTTTTGTTCTTTCAAAATGTTTTTAAAATATTTTAGTCATTATTTTTATTTTATGTGTATGAGTGTACTGCTTATACGTGTGTAAGTGCACCCATCTCATGCAATGCCCACAAAGGTCAGAAAAGAGCATCAGATTCTCCTGAAACTGGAGTTACAGATAGTTATTAGTTGCCATGTGGGTGCTGGGAATTGAACCTGGGTCTTCTGTAAGAGCAGTCAGTACTCTTAACCACTGAGCCATCTCTCAAGTCCCTCAAAATAATTTAATAATAAAACATTCAGGCTTGTTGAATGTGGTAGCACATACCTTTAATCCCAGCACTCAGAAGACAGAGTCAGGTGGATCTCTGTGAGTTTGGGGCCAGCCTATTCTACACAGTGAATTCTAGGCCAGTCAGGGCTACATATAGCAAGCCCTTGTATCAAAACAAAAACAAAAATCACACTACACCAAACCAAACCAACAAACCAAACTAAACCAAACCAACAAACAGAAAAGTTCAGGCTTAATATTTTGCCATGTTTGCTTTAGATTTAAAAAAAAAATTCGAAGTTCTGTTTTGCATCCAATTTGCCTTCTCCTCAAAGGCAGCCACTCTTCTGAAGTTAGTTCAGAAGCAGATTCAAGGTAAAGGCTGATGAGTATGTATCTGATCTGGGAAGTAAACAGACAGAAGCAAGGAAGAGGGGCATAGGTCAAAGGAGGAAAGGTAGCTATTCCTGTTGGCAACTGCACCTTGTCTGCAGGGAAGCTCTAGAAAAGGATCTTGGGTGAAAAGTGATAGAACTGTAGAATTACACTCCCATGCCCATTACTCTTCCAGCCTGTGTGAAAGGGTGGGGGGTGGGGTGGGGGGGTTGCCTGAGGGCAGCTTCTTGACAGACTGAGATGATGGCTGCTGTAAATCAGGGTGGTATGTACAAAAATGGCTTGGGGATACAAAGGGGCATGGCAGAACACTGAGCATATCAGCAACAGTGTGGGATCCATCCCTCTGATGTTCGATTTACTAGAGTTACATGCCATTAGTTTTTATAACAGTATATGATATTGTTAACGCCTTTAGCAATGATGAGAAAAATGACTATAAACATACATTGGCTTTAAATTTTTTATTTATAGTCAATGCAAAAAAGGAAGCTAGTTTAGAAAAGTAACTTAAGCTCAAAGAGTTGCTCAACTATTTGTTGCATTTATATCAGGAACTTAATGGATTCCCTTATTAGGAAATAGGAAAAGAAATAAATATATACCACCATTAATTTTTGTTTGGTTTCATACTTCATTAGACTTTGACAAAATATGACTTCCTCGGTCATTGTCCCTCCTCTTCTACTGCTAAGTCTGCAGGCTGTTAGGCTTAAACTGTGGCTGATATATAAGATTATAGGTCTTCGCTAGAAGGTTATATACAATCTAAAGTGCCTTAGAATATAATTTTCTTCTTAGCTACAATTCATTGGCTTCTCTTGGAAAGAAGTGAGGTATATGTGTGTGGTAGGGTGGGAATGAAAGTGGGGGCCACCACAGTGAAAATATACCCCAACTCCACAATCAGGGTCTATTCATGAGTCCAGAAATCGTTCAGCAAAACCAGGAATGGTTGGCCTTTTTTGTCACTTACAACCAAAAGACCTCTGAAATAACAAAATAAAGCTATAGAACAATATGTTTTCTAGTCCCTTTTGCAGGAACCAAAGGAATTTAAAATAATATCTAAATAACACTCTTCACAGATCCTAGTACTGGGTAAACACAGACTTCCCTCTTTAGGAACTAGCAGACAGAAAAATCACCTTACAAATGAAAACTCTAGAAGAATCTTTCTGAAGAATCAGAATAAATAATCACATGGGTAGTACTGTTAAACAGACCAAAAAGTATCTGAGTCATGCGTGTTGGTGCACACCTGTAGTCTCAGCTACTCTGGAGGATCACATCAGCTCATGAGCTGGAGACCAGCAAGACCCCATATCCATAACAACAACAAAAATAATGAAATCTCATATTGAGATTCAAGGGGATGCCCATCAAATTTCATGCTTCAGATAAAAATGACTGTAAGAAAAACCTAGGTATAATCGTGAACTACAGAGTGGATTTAGATCAGAGAGACCACATAACTGGTAAACTGTGTGTAAAATATATTGGTGAAAACAACTTCTAGAAGCTGCATAAATTTCACATTTTTGAATTTTATTTACTATTTTTATTTTATGTGTATGAGTGTATTGCCTGCATGTGTGTATGTGCACTGTGTCATGCAGTACCCATAGAGGTCAGAAGGAGGTGTCAGATCCCCTGGAACTAGAGTTATAGATCATTTTTAGCTGTTATGTGGGTTCTGGGAATTGAACCCGGGTTGTCTCCAAGAGCAGCCAGTGCTCTAAACTGCTGAGCCATCTCTCCAGCCCCAATTTCTTACTTAAAAGAGTAGTAGGGAGGTCTTGGAAGATGGGTCAGTGGTTAAAGAGCTTGTTGTGCAAGGGTGATTACTGGCATTTGGATCCCCAGAAACTCATGTAAATGCCAGGTGAGCATAGCAGTTCACTGATAATTCTAGTTTTGGAAGGCAGAGACGGGATCCCCAGAGCAAGCTGACCAGCAAGATTAGCCATATCAGTGAGCTCTGGGTTTGACTGAGAGACCCTGCTCAATGAAATGAGGTGAATAAGTAATTGAAAATGATTCCTGACATCAGCCTCAGGCTTTCACATGCACATGCACAAATGTGCATGTGCACTTATGCACATACTCCCCCAAAATGTGTATACACACATGTGTATACCACACAGTCACATGAGAAATAGAAAAAGAAAAAAAGAGTTGTAATATTTTCACAAGGTAATTTCTTACTGTTTTTCCACTTGATTCCATTTCCACAAAAAAATATATAAAAATAGAGATAGCTCAGTCAGTATAGTGCTTGCCATACAAGCATGAAGGCCTGAGTTTGATCTCTAGAACCCACATAAAGAGGCTGGGTATGGTGGTGGTATATTCTTATAATCCTAGCACTGTGGAGGTGGAAACAGGAAGATCTTTGGGATTTGCTGGCCAGTCCCCCTAAGCCGTCTGGGCGAGCTCCAGGCCAGTGAGAGATCTGATCTCAAAAACAAGGTGGTCGGGCTGGAAAGATGGTTCAGCAGTTAAGAGGACTGGCTGCTCTTGCAGAGGACCTGGTTTTGGTTCCCAGCACCCACATGACAGCTAACAATTGTTGGTAACTCCAGTTCCAGGGGATCCAACACCCTCTTCTGGCTTCTTTGGGCTCTGTATGCACATGGTGTACCTACATACATGCAGGCAAAATACTCATAAACATAAAATAAAAATAAAAATTTAAAATAACAACAAACAAACAAAAACACCCAAAGAAAAAGGTGGTCAGCTTCTGAAGAACAACACCGGAGGTCGTCCTTTGGCCACCACAATCCTCGCCCACATGAACATGCACGAAATTTATAAAAGTAAGAAAACACATTACCCGATAGCACATTTAAACAATAAGTAATAGTAGAAACAAAGATCACACGGAATCCATTGTCCTTACACATAAAAGATACTTTACTTATTCTATCAGAAACTTTGACTCTTATTATAGGAAACTGTACATTGTCTAACACAAAATTAAGTGTCATGAACTCACTGACTTCCAAAAGCCCCAGAGATTGCAGTGGTTAGTCTATCAGCCCCTGTCCATGGACACTAGGACTCTTATTCAATGTGTACTTACATTGTATAGAGGGATAGTCTTCATCACCTTGTATTGTTTAGTGGGATCCATTTTATATAGGTGACGGTCAGTGACAAAAATTGCTCTGTCTTCTACCTTACTAAATCGATTCACCTATAAGAAAACAGAGACAAACAATAGTATCTCATTAAAAAGGAAATCAAGTTGTATCTTGGTTCAGAAGCAGCCTATAGGAGATAAAGCCTCAGTAGATGGTCACTATGTATGGCACTCTACAGGACACAACAATGACCTTAAAGGAGCAGCAGTTTCCAGAGGTGTGGAGTTTGGTAATTGAAAATTTGCATCTCAACAGAAACATAAAAAATCAGAGAATTCAAAGACTAGAAATATGTATAGATATCATCAAGAAAGTGAATAGACAAATCCACAATATGGAGAAAAAGTTCTGCAAATCATATATTTAAGGGACTTGTATCTAGAATATACAAACAATTAATTCAACTTAGTTGAACTTATATAATCCAATTGATACCATTTATATAACTGATACCATTTATATAATTGATACCTTGTATATAACAAGAACCTGAGATTAGTATATAGAGGTGAGAGAAATAAGCAATAAATGAAAATAAGTTCATGTAAAAATATAAAGAAAATAAAAACAGTATTGAAAAAACATGTATGTGTGTCTCTAGAGTGCTACTTTATTAGACAGAAGGTCAGAGAATGTCCCCATTTGCAGGTACAGTTTTTTCCTGAGACAAAATTAACCAAGTACATTGTATAAGCTGTGGTTAGTTACTTGTTAATTAGGATACTTCAGGTTATATTTTAATCAAGGTACCCAGACTAACATTTAAAAGAGTATTTATTTTACACGTGTGTGTGTGTTTGTGTGTATGCACGTGTGCACCTCTGTGAGTTTATGTGCAACAAGTGTATGTAGGTGCCCATGGAAGCCAGAGGGCATTGGATCCCCTGAATCTAGAGCTACAAGAGGTTGTGAGCCGCCTGATGTATGTGCTGGGAACTGAACTTGGGTCCTCTGCAAGAGCAGTAAGTGCTCTTAATTGCTGTCATCTCTTCAGTCCCAACATATTTTGAACCTCTGCAATGTCATGTTTCTCAGTGTCTAGAAGAGAAAGGCAAGCAAACAAAATGAAAGAAGCATAAATCTCCCCCAACCCAACAGAAAGCACACTTTGTTATAGGTCTTCTATTGTGTATACACACACAGACACACACAGACACACACACACACACTTTGCCCTTCACCCAAGTTCTTATTTCTAAGAGAACTTAGGGATTAATTTGAAAACAGTTTTAGTAGGCTAGTGACATAGCTGCATTTGGATAAGCAGAAGAGGATGCAGCAGGGTAGTCTGCTAGAGGTGCTAGAGATAGGACAGTGCAAACTAAAATTCAAATTTGACTTGGAAGTTTTGAATCTTTTCCCTCACAGTTTTAGTGATCAGTCAATTCTTTAAATGTTTACTTTATAACCAAAGAATATTTTTCAGTCTTTAACATGAGAGAAAATGATACCCATAATTTAAATAGAATCTACATGGTAAGTTCATAATTTGTGCTTTTGGGGAATATCTTTGCATAGCATCCATTTTTGCCATGACATACAGCTAGTATTTCACCAAAGATATGAAACACTGAGTGTGGAGATGCAGTTAGCTGTTCTGCACAGTACTGGTCTTATATGGGGCTTTTTGAAAGAAAGAGTACTGAAAACCACAGCTCCTACTAGGATATCTATAACCCAGAAAGTTGTAAAAAACTCTGGGAAGTCTCCATTAAAACAGTACATTTAACCCAGCACTTCCACAGAACATTTAATTTATGGAATCCTTTTTCAACAAATACATATTAATATGTGACAAAACACTGGTTCTATAAAGTACAAGGTGGAGAACACTTTCATCAGTCTTTGAATATGTGGAACAGAGAGCATCTAACATAAAACCTGAATAATGAGACATACTGCTCCTCATCTTTTATGGAATAATATTGAGAACTAGACAAATGTACAAAAATATAATTTAAAAACCCTGTTGCATAATTTCACAAGGTCATCCCAGAGTTGAAACAGAAAGTCTGCATGTCCTTTTAATGATATGCCCTTGAGTTAAAATAAAAAGAAACCCTCAAGGCAGGAACTGTATTGAAACTCTTATATTCTTTTATATGAGTAAACGGCAATTTCTTCAGAGAAAACATCACAAATATTTACATTCTGCTTCAGCAATTCAAATTATCCTGAAAACATGAGTCAAGTGACTGGGAAATATATCAGGCCTAACGGCATAAAAGTTGAAGACTGCTTAATTTAGCACACACCAAAGGAAAGCATTCAACATACATAGGAAATCCAAGCTTAACACAATTATTGTATAGGAACACTATATTTCACTTTTCATGAAAATATGGAAAAACTGGATCACAGACTCAGGATTAGATAAGACTTCATCTTGTTTCTTAAACCTAAAGTTAAAATCCTCACCCCAGAAAAAAATTTCCTCCCATTCTGCTTTCCATAACTACTTCAAGTGATCTGTTTATAGGTTCAGTTGTTTCCACAGGGGGTCAGAGATAAGCTTCACCAGAGAGTGAGAGCAGAGCAAACAGTGCTATTTGCAGCAGTCTCTCACCTTGAAGAACACTTTATAATAACTGTGGTTAATGGAAAGTGGCCGCTTCAAAAGGAAGCAAAGGATAAAGAACAGGACTCTGTGGAAGTGTATCATTTGCTTTGGTGTGCCTTTGGGATTGAAAGAGTCTAAAGGGGACATTAAGCTACAGTGTGAAGAAAATTTTGGCACTGAACTTAGAAATACAGGAGCATGAATAGGAATTATTCAGTTGTTGCCCAGCAGAACCTAGGATGAAACTGTAAGACATAAAACTGGAATGAGAGGCACCACACCAGGCTTTTCTACAGATGGCCTAATTCTCAGTACCATCCAAATCTTTAATTGTTCTCACTTCCAAAATACCTTGACATCAGAGAGAAAGTATACTGGAGAGTGGGTATAGGACTTACTCACTAGGTAGTGGGTAAGGTACACTTACAAGCTTGATGTTTAACTTAAATTTATTAAAAAATATTTATTATTTTTATTTTATGTATATGAGTATACTGCCTGCATGTATATAAGTGCACCTGTGTCCTGCAATGCCCACAGAGGTCAGAAGAGGGCACAGGATCCGCTGAAATTGAAATTACAGATGGTTCTTACCTGCCATGTGAGTGCTGGGAAGCAAACCTGGGTCCTGTGCAAGAGCAGCCAGTGCTCTTGACCACTGAGCCATCTCTCCAGCCTGGTAACTTAAATTTTTTTGTTTAGATGTGTAAATATGGTTAGCAAAAGTCTTATCTTGATTGTGTATCCCTAAGTATATTTAATAAAACAGGGTTACTGGATTTTAATGTTCACAACTAGAAACTGGAACATGGGAACCAGGCAATGATATTGCAATAGTTCCTCAATGACGTTTATTGCAGTCTAAGTCTGCTTCCCTGGTTTTAAAAGTTTGTATCATTTGGACTTGAACTCCCTTAGAATGTTCAAACACTGTGACACTCTCTAAAGCTGAAACATTTTAAATGTCCTGCTAAGTCCTCAACAAGTTTTTGGATGCTGGATGTGCAACTTGTATTTTTGTTCCTGATAGAGTTCACAAAATCCTGTGTGAACTGTGTGTGTGTGTGTGTGTGTGAGAGAGAGAGAGAGAGAGAGAGAGAGAGAGAGAGAGAGAGAGAGAGAGTGAGAGAGAGAGAGCTGTTTGCTAAAAAGGGCAAGGCATGATTAGAAGATTGAACTTGCAGCAGCTCTCCTCTAACCACCTTCAGAGAAGGGAGAAAGGCTGGGAATAGGCACTAAACTATTTATCAACAGGAAATATATAGATTTAAACAGTCCCACCTATGTAAAGAAACCTCCATGAGCCCTAAGCTACTACTGCATTTGGAGAGCTTCCCAGATGGTAAAAGCCTCCATGGGGCAAGGGGGGCACATTTTCTTCTAATTGTGGTAGTCGAGACCACTGATATTTTTTAATTAAATTTTTGTGTATTTCATATAGAACATCATTTTTACCCGGCCTTCCACTTTGGAACTATCCCATAGCCCCCACCCCCACTTGAGTTCATACTTTCTGTCATTTGTGTTAAGGCCTATCATGTAAAGTTAGTGCCCCCAGATGTCTCTCAGTGCAAGTTCATCCACTGGGATTCAGCCAGTCTGTCTAGAGTCCCTCCCTTTAAGAAGATCAGCTCATTCTCACCCAGCAGTAATCAACTGCCAATAATTCTTCGACTAAGATTGGGGCCTGCTGTTCATTTCCAGTTTTGTGCTGGATTTTTGTCTGCTTAAGTTTTCATGGGTCTTGTGCATGCTGACACCATTGCTGTAGGTTCATATGAGAAGAGTCCCAGGAGCCCGGAGGATGATTTCCTTATGGTCATGCACTGCCTCCCTGGCTCTAACACTCTTACAATCTTTCTACCCCCTCTTTTGCAATGATCCCTGAGCACTGGGTGGATGAATTTTAATACAGGAGTCCTGTTCAAGGACCCACACTCTGCAGACTCTTATTTGCTGCGTTTTGGCCATTTGTGACCCTTTTCATCCCTGGCATGAGGGAACTTCATTGATGAGAACTGAAGGATGCATTAGTGTTCTCTTCATCCCTGGTTCTATGTTTTGTGAGCCTTAGGTGTAGAGGCTGCATCCTAGATGTGCCACTTAGGCTTGGGCAATTCATAGACAATCCTTGTGTGATCAATTGTGGAACTCTGTAACCGTCTGTCTCTTGAAAAAGAAGTTTCTTTGATGGGTGGTGACTGGGATACTTGTGTATAGATTTAAGGATCCATATTACATTTGTCTAGGGATATGACAGTCTTTGAGCTTTCTCTAAGATCTATGACCTCTCCAGCTATGTGTATTTGGTTAGGTTTATAACACCACACATGAGTTTCCTCCCATTGAGTGGGCTATAAGTCTAATTAGGTAGCTGTTGATTGCCCCCAAGATAAAAGTGCCACTACTGTACCAATGTTGTTGCTGTGCTGGTCACTGATGTGGTTTTTAAGCCTTGAAGCTGGGGTTGGACCATCAACTGATGTTCTCCCT